TCACAGAATAAAAGAATGTAAAATATGATACCATATATCTAAAACATGGTGGTTGGAGGAAGAAGGGAGTAAAAATGTATGGCTTTATAATGAGTTCAAACTTAACCAACCATCAACTTAATATAGACCACTATATGCAGAAAATGTTATATGTAAACCTAATATCAAAAACGTGTAATAGATATGCAAAAAATAAAGAGAAAAGAATCCAAGTATATCACTAAAGAAAGCCAACAAACCATGCGAGAAGAGCAAGAGAAGAAGTGAACAAACAACGACAAAAATAACCATAAAACAATGGAAATAAGCACATACTTGTCAATAATTACTTTGAATATAATAGACAACATGCTCCAGTCAAAAGACATAAGATGACAGAATGAATAACAAAGCAAGACCCATCTATATGCTGCCTACACGAGACTCCTTTCAGACCTAAAGACACTGAAAGATTGAAAGTGAGGGGATGGACAAACATTTATCCTGAAAAAGGAAGGGAAAAGAAAACTGGGGTAGGAATACCTATGAGGGACAAAATACACTTTGAAACAAAGACTGTAACAAGCAACAAAGAAGTACTTGTGGGGCGCCTGGGCGGCTCAGTGGGTTAAAACCTCTGCCTTCAGCTCGGGTCATGATCCCAGGGCCCGGGGATTGAGCCCCACATCGGGCTCTCTGCTCAGCAGGGAGCCTGCTTCCCTTCCTCTCTCTCTCTGCCTGCTTGTGATCTCTATCTGTCAAATAAATAAATAAAATCTTTAAAAAAATAAAAAAAATTAAAAAAAGAAGTACTTGTTATATTTCCAATATTGCCTCAATACTGTAGTTCTAAAGCATTCTGGAGTCATAGGCCCCTTCACAGTAATAAGTCACATACCAAGACCCACAGATATTCCCCTATGCTCATACCATACAGTGTTATATAAAATGTCAAGGAGTTTTTGGACCACAGGTTAAGAAATCTTATGTTGTGACTTAAATCACATTTATTACATAAAACATCCACAGGTCATCTATCAAAACATACTTGCCAAGCATAAAAAAATACCCAATAACATGGTGTCAGGCTCTCATAATTCAGTAGACCACGTGCTGTAGGAGTTCTGAAGAGGGAAAGATAAATGCCAGCAATGACAGTCTGGGAAGATTTCCTCTGCGGGAGTGGGGCACAGCATTTCCATTAGGAGAGAACAGTAGGAGATGAAATATAGAAGTCAGAAAGTGGGATGGTAGGCAGGAGAACTGTGAACAGAGGTAAAAGTGGGAGATGGGTGAGGACAGAGTGGGCAGATAGCCAAGGACAGGTGGCCGTCAGTGGAGGCCTGGATGGATGAAGGAAGAAAGCCAATTTGAAGCAGCTCCACTCCTTGTAGCCTTTTAGGTTTTAACTTCCAGCAGCAAAAATCAACATTATCAGAAACAGCAAATAGCCATTAGCCATAGAGTTCATGGGGGCTGTGATGCATTCCAGGATTTCTTGAGAAGGTCAAGAAGCTAGACTAAATCCCATCTGTGCCTCGAGTTGTGAAAATACAAACTTAGCTACTCTACATTTTTGTTTCAGCCGCATAACTTTGCTTATAATTCCTTATACACACCATGCTGTTCTTGCCTCTTTTGCCTGTACTCAAGACATGTTCTCTTCTAGAAAAAGCCTTTTGTCTGACAAAACTCAGTTCAGATCATCTCTTTCAAAGACTTGTGATGCCCCTCACTACCAGACTGGGGGAGTACCCGGTGCGTATCTCCACCATGACGGCCCCTCACTGCTTTGAAGTGATCTGTTCACCAGGGTGACTCCGTCTTTGGGCAGAGACTGTCTGGCTTACCTTCACAGCCCTAGTGTGCACATAGTTGTGTTACCCTAAAAGGCCATTGCGGGTCTCCCCTCTGACAGCAGATAATCTCACTTCAACTTGGGATCCTCCAGAACTGTGATTCCAGAACCTGACATTAATATAATCTTTCCTAACTAAAATTCAAGGGAGGTGGCATTCCTTGTTGGATGTGATGTTACCAGAGGTCTTTTTAAACAGCAGGCACAAGCGCACCTCGGAGATGTTGTGGGCTCAGTTCCAGACCACTGCAGTAAAGCGAATGTCAGAATTAGCAAGTTGAATGAATTTTTATTTCCCAGTATTTTTAAAAGTTATGTTCATACTATACTATTAAATGTGCAATAGAATTATGTTTTAAAAAAACAATGTATATACTTAATTTAAAAATACTTTATTGCTAAAAAGGCTGTCATCTGAGCTTTCAGGGGGTCTTGATCTTTTTGCTGACAGAAGGTCTTGCCTCCCTGTTAAAGACTGCTGATTGATTAGGATGGCCGTTGCTGAAAGTGGAGGTGGCTGCAGCAATTTCTTTAAAAAGACAACAGTGAAGTTTACTGCACCTGTTGACTCTTCCTTTCACAATTTCTCTGTAGCATACGATACTGTTTGGTAGTATTTTACCCACAGCAGAACTTCTTCTAAAATTGGAATCAATCTTCTCATCCCTTGTTGCTGCTTTATCAACTAAATTTATGTAATATTCTAAATCCTTTGTTGTCACGTCATCAATCTTCACCAGGAGAAGATCCCATCTCAAGAAACTACTTTCTTTCCTCATCCATAAGAAGCCGCCATTCGTCCATTAAAGCTGTAGCGTGAGATTGCAGCAGCTTAACCCCATCTTCAGGCTCTACTTCTCATTCTAGTTCTCTTGCTATTTCCCCCACATCTGCGCTACTTGCTCCGCTCCATTCTGGAACCTCTCAACCCATGAGGGTTGGCATTGACTTCTACAGTCCTGTGATTGTTGATATTTTGACCTCTTCCCATGAATTATGAATGTTCCTAATGACAGCTAGAATGGTGAATTCTTTCCAGAAGGTTTCCAATTTACTTTGCCCAGATGCATCAGAAGAATCACAATCTATGAGAGGTATAGCCCTAAGAAATGTATTTCTTAAATGATAAAGAATTGACAGTCAAAATGACTCCTCGTTCCATGGCCTGCAGAATGGATATCGCGCGAGCGGGATGAAAACATTAATCTTGTTGTCCATCTCCATCAGAGCTCTTGGGTGACCAAGGGCATTGTCAGTTAGCAGTCCTGTTTTGCAAGGAATCTGTTTTTTCCCCTGAGCAATAGGTCTCAACAGTGAGCTTAAGATATTCAGTAAACCATATTGTAAACAAATGTGCTGTCATCCAGGCTTTGTTGTCCCATTTATAGAGCACAGGCAGAGTGGATTTAGCAGAATTCTTAAGGGCCCTGGATTTTGGAGTGGTCAAGGAACACTGGCTTCAGTTCTAGTCACCAGCTGCTTAGCCCCTAACAAGAGAGTCAGGCTTGACTCTCTTGTTAGGGGCTTGAAGCTTTGAAGCCAGGCATCGACGTCTACGAAGTCTTAGATGGCATCATCTTCCACAATAAGACTGTTTCATCTACAGTGAAAACCTGTTGTTCAGTGTAGCCATCTTCATGAATTACCTTGGCCAGACCTTCTGGAGAATTTGCTGCTGCCCCTTCACTTTTATGTTACGAAGATGGTTATTTCCTTAAACTTCATGAACCACCTCTGCTGGCTTCCAGCTTTTCTGCAGCTGCTTCTTCTCTCAGCCTTTCTAGAATTGAAGAGAGTTCAGGCCTTGCTCTGGATTAGGCTTTGGCTGAAGAGAATATCATGGCTGGTTTGATCTTCTATCCAGACTATTTAGACTTTCTCCATATCGGCAGTAAGTCTGTTTTGCTTCCTTAGTATTTGTGTGTTCAGTGGACTAGCACTTTTAATTTCCTTCAAGAACTTTTCCTTTGCATTCACAATTTGGCTTTTTGGCAAATGATGCCTAGCTTTTGGCCTGTCTTGGCTCTTGACATGCCTTCCTCACTAAGGTTAATCATTTCTAGCTTTTGATTTACAGTGAGAGATGTGTGACTTTTCCTCTCACTTTAACACATGGAAGCCAGTGCAGAGTTATTAACTCACCTAATTTCAATATCCTTGCGTCTCGGACTAGGGAAGCCTGAGCAGAGGGAGAGAGATGGAACGGCTAGTCGAGCAGTCAGAACACACACATTTATCAGTTAAGTGTGCTGTCTCATGTGGACGTGGTTCATGCCCCCAACATCAGTGTTCACAGCAAAGGTCACTGATCCCAGATCACTGCAACAGACACCCGTGATGATGAAAATGTTTGAAGTATTGAGAGAATTACCAAAATGCAACAGAGAAACACGAAATAAGCAGATGCTGTTGGGAAAAGTGGTGCCAGCAGACTCGCTCAGTGCAGGGTTGCTGCCACAGATCTTCAGTTTATGAAAAAGGCAGTATCTGCGAAGTGTGACACAAAGAGGTATGTCTGTATGTCGAAGTACCTGGGCCTCAGACCCTGTAACTGTGGTGCTGCCTTTGCTTCTCCAGCATCTTTTCCTTGAGGGCTCTGGCTGCTAGAGTCTTTGGTCCATGGGTCCTGTCTCGAGCATAAGACACAGGCTCTGATCAGATCACCTGAGAGTATCTCATGGGCCGCATTTTCAGAGGCCCCTGGGTGCTCTGCCCAAATGTCTCACAGAGGGTTTCCCTGATTGCCTGATGGGAAATAAAAATGATCTATCAGTCCCTCCATCCTATTTTGCCACTTTATTTTCTTCATAGCATTTCTTTTTAAAAATATTTTATTTATTCATTTGACAGATACACGGCGACAGAGGTAACACAATCAGGAGGAATGGGAGAGGGAGAACAAGCCTCCTGCTGAGCAGGGAGCCTAGGTGGGGCTTGATCCCAGGACCCTGGGATCATGACCTAAGCCGAAGGCAGATGCTTATCGACTGAGCCACCCAGGCAACCCTTTTCATAGCATTTCGGTCTGAATTCCAATTTTGCTCTCTGTATGTTTTATATAACACTGTATTCAAAGAATCATTCTTCTACAGTTTTTAATATACTTCAGATGGAAAGTCAACTTTTCCATAGTGTGTAACTTTTTTTCCTTTTCTGTTTCAAGGAGGATTCTCTGGGTCACATTTGAGACATGGAAGAAGTTTGTGAAATTTATGAAAGAGGAAAGAATAAAAGAAGAAAGGCGAGAGCAACTCCGTCGGAGGGTGGCTGAAATTCTCCCAGACTTCCAGCCGCTCGCATCCTGGTAACCCTCGGGCAGCAGAGACTGGCGCCATGTGAGCGCGCAGGGTGCGGGATGGGCATCCGTCCATGAGGGCAGACACCCGCTCCGTCATCTGGCAAATACTTCTTGGATCGAGAGGATTACCTGGGCAGTTTTTACTTCCTCCTTTGATTTCTGTTGGATTACTAATTAGTTCACTAAAGCATTTAGCATAGCAGGATCAAAGAACAGTGTAAATCTCAACTATTCAGATGCATTCTATATATTTTTAGCATCATAAACTTTAAAGAGGACAAGTGTTTCCTTGCCTGAGTCTCCGAAGGAAATGTGTCCTTCTGGTGTACCATGAGTTGTTGACAAATTTAACTTTATAGAAATTCAAAGGAGTGAGTATGCAGGGAAGGAGTCATAGTGGTCAGTGATAGTGCCTTAGCGTCAGCAACAGGCGCTCTGCTGGACGCCATGCACCCCCCCCCCCCCCCCCCACAGCCCCCATGGAAAGCCGCCTATCAAATGGGACTCAGTGCAGCTGCTGCAAAGCGCAGGACTATCTCCTTATTTGGAGGACACAGTGGCACCAAAGACCCTTCTCTTCAGTGCATCCTGACAAGCATGAAGGGAATTCTAAAAGCTAATGTAACGCTCTCAGGGGCAGTCCAGCAATTCGTTAACATGTCTGCGCGTGCTCCCAGCTGCAACTTCTAAATAACATACCTGTCTGTCCTCTAGCCTTCAGCTCAGTTTGATCCACATAGCGCGATGGATTCAAAGAATGATTTCATCTTTAAGGTGCAGATGACTATAAAGACTGATGAAATGCTCTTCTGTGAGTTGTCTGAATTACCTGCTAGTGAAAAAAAATTTCATTACAAAATACATGTTCATTATAACAAATTTAAGTAATAGACAAGTGTACTACCCAGTAGAACAAGAAAGTCCTTTGCAGCCCTGAGGTAACTACCAGTATTTGCTAGGTTTACAATTTCAAGCGGTAAGATAAAATTCTGTGTGTTGTTCAATCAATTGTTATTGTCCTTATTTCCTAGAAGGGATAGGCAGTTCCACTGTCTGCAATGACTTATATCCTTTTTTTGTGGAACATGTGTGAAGATTTACTCAGAAATGACAAAACACCCTAAATTGAAGTTTATTCCTTCTACAGTGTCCGTGTCCCCACGTCTTTTCCTTTAATAAGATTATATAACTGTCATTTACAAACTCTTTTAGACTAACACCCACTAATGAAAACAGGATTAAAAGAAACTCATCTGTAGTCTCTTTCCATTCAAAACCCAATCTGCTCACCCCGACCTGTAATGCAAAGCACAGTACCAGCTACCATCAACCCCCAGACATCAAATACCAAGTTCCTATCCCTGCCAAGCCTGCAGATAAGGGCGAATCCTTTAAGTAAACATGCCAAGGGCCTAAAGAAATGCCATAAAGCTTAAGTTTCCTCTCTTAAGCTTTCCTTTTATTTTTACTTCACCTCAAACGTCAATTAGCCATTGAGTCTTTAGCAGACCATATTCTGACTGGGCCAGTGAGGACTTTCTACCTCCCTCCTTTTTTTTTTTTTTTTTTGAAAGGATTTTATTTATTTATTTGATACAAAGCGAAAGAGAGCACAGGCAGGGGTAGCGGCAGGCAGAGGAAGGAGACGCAGACTCCCCACCAAGCAGACACCAATGAGGGGCTTGATCCCAGGGCCCTGGGATCATGACCTGAGCCAAAGGCAGACACTTTACCATCTGAGCCACCCAGGCACCCTTTTTACCTACTTAACCATAGGCAAATCGCTTAGTAAATCACCTGTAGTTCTTGCTGGGCTATCCTAAAGACATGATTAGGAATATTACTGCTAACAAAATGCCCAAAATAGCAGTATCCCTGGCCTATAAAACTAGACAAAGTAACCAACAGGAAAAGGACTGTTTAGGGCCAAGGATAACTGAGGTCCGAAGGACAGGGACACTTCGGTAGCCAGAGGAGCAGCCCGGCTCTAACACAGATGTCCCTTAAAGCAAGAGAGTTCAGGAGACACGCTAATAAACACACTAATAAACACCAACTATTTCCTTTAAAGAAAGCACTTTATTTTCCATTTAAGCAACTTGGTCACAGTACATTATTTTACATAAATGGCAGTTAAATTTTTAAATCTCCATTTAAAAGGCCCTGTGTCTGATCTGAGGTGATAAGAGGATACGAATACAAGTATAAAAACAGTGCAAAACGTCTAGCCCGCAGCCTCCAGAGTTGGCGTCAGGAATCCCCTTTAGTGTTGCCCGGCCTGGTGCGTTAAATATTGAACATTAAATATCCCTGGGTTTCCTTAAGCCTAACAATCAGACTGAGAGATGTAATCAAATGAAAAGGCCCGAAAACCGTAACAATGCAAATCATCGAATCACCCAGACCACAGGATCGGAGCAGCCTGAGCCTGCAAGTTCTAGAACACGGCATTGGGTCAGTGGTGCCATGGGAAGAAAGGCAGGATGTTTGCTGCATCGGTAACTAGAGTCCACTGGCTCTGGGTTTAAAGCTTTGCCTTTGAAGCATGAATTCCCTAGAAGAGAAGGTGCTGCCAGGAAGGCTAGAGTAGCAGGAAGTCAAAAGCCCAACTCGGAAACAGCTGGAGATAGCTGCAGCCTCTAAGAGACCCGTCTCCACGAACCAAGCAATCCTGGCCGCCGCTGCTACAGCGGGTGCCAGCTCGAGTGCGGTAGCAGTCCGTCAGCAACAAGATCACATCTAGCCGACTTTGCAGGAAGTTTCTGTTCATCACAGCAAACACCCACAAGAACACAAGGAATTTTGTTCAGCACTAAGTTAGGCAGAGATCTCCTCCTTCCCCGGCATCGCCTTGGCAGTGTTTAATAAAAAATGGCATACTTGCCACGCTGCTGATGAGAAAACCAGATTCCAAACAGGTGCCTCAAGCAAAAGTCTCTATCCTCCCTTGCTTGTTTGAGGAAATTCTCTTTTTTCAAACGCAGGGTACCTAAATATGGCTAAAATGAAGTCCTATAAACCTACTTACCTCATTTAAGGAGACCCTTAAATTTCAAAAAAACACTGTTAAACATCCTGGTTAAAACTGTGCTTCTAGATGTCACATTTTTGCTTCTGTTAGTTGAGCTTTGTAGTAAAAAGCTAATGTCCTCGCCAAAGGAAATATACTAGAGAGTCTATGAAGCAGATGGTCAGTATTCTAGTGAACCTTACTGGCACTGTTTTCTGGCAGTGGAAGATTCTAGTATAGAAAATTTTCTCTTACTAAAAATATTAGAAGTACAAAGGACTGTTGCATAAGAGAAAGTCTGCAGCACTCTTTCTGCTAGACAGGTGGCACAGTGGAAGACAACAATTACTTCATTCACCAAAGGACAATGCTACTTGAATGGCAAAGAGTTCCAGTATCCTAAGCAGACACAGAGGTGGCTGAGGTGAGATGACCAGCAGTGTCCCCAAAACTCACTTAAGGCTTGTTAATGGTCAGTTCATGTCAGGTAGGCCCAGCTATAACCATGAAGTACTCTTTGGGTATCATTAAAAAATAATTCTAAATACTGAAGGACTTTTCTCCTTTCATGCAATCCTGATCCTCAACTATTTCCCTTAAATCTTGTGAATGGACCCATTTCTTTTCCCCAGAAATAGTACACAAAGGCATGACCATAATGTAAGTGGTCAGAATACAGTGGACGGTTTGCTAAAGCTCCATATCAATAGGTCTATTAACAGGCTGAGGAAGAAGGGCATGGGGGGAGGGAATTCTGCCGGGTGGGGGGAGGCTGGCCTCTGGCCAACAAACTGCCGGTTTTTAGGTTTGCAAAGCAATTCCCCCCACGGCCACCACCTCCGCCACCACAGGTTTCTCTGGGACTCAATCGTTCACAGAGGCCCTGTCCTTTAAAAGGACAAAATTCCTCAAATAGTTCCAGGTCATAAAAAGGTGTAAGAACCCAGGAGCCTAGATTTAGAGTGTCCTGGGGCCCACAGAAACCCTGCTCACAAAGAGCCCCCCATTTGCTGCTCCTTCTGGTGCAAATACTTCAATAGGCTTTTACCCCCATAAAACCATGGAGCTTTTCAAAAGTTTGAGCTTTCTTCTGTAAAACGCTGATCATGATCTCAAGAAACATAAAACAAGCAACTTCATCCCAACCAGCGGAAATAACAAACAGGGAGTCCTTATGCAGGTGAGGGAACCTGAGAGGCCCCATGTAGATCAACCATGAGGGGGGTGTGCTGTTATAAAAATGGCAGTCATTCCTAATCTCCCACATGACTGTGGTCTCTTGGGTACTACTCATCATGATCAGGTCATATTTGGATGGTTGTTAAAGATCTGGCAAGAGGCTGAAATTACCGACTACACTATTGTTTCCATGAATTCTTTCATCAACTCTGAGACAATCAGAGTTGGCCCTACATCTGCATTCAAGAGACTATGACTAGAGAGCTCGGGCCACACGTGCTGTCCTTGACATTATTCCTCTCTCTCTCTCCTCTCACAAACCCAGCCGAAAGGAATTAGTTCTATCAGACCCAATGTTAGTTCCAAATGAATACTCAACTCTGGGCTCAAGCAAGGGCATCCCTGTAGAAACCACAGACTGCTAACATCCCCAGACTTGCTCTGTGGCTCATCCCAGTGGAATAGGGAGCCTCTCACCGCTTAAACGATCCATGTCAGGGGAGAGCAGCGACAAGCCTGTGTAGAAGTGTGGGGACTGTCTTAAGGACAGCTTTGTTTCACGGCAGGACAGGGACGGTGCCAGCAGCAGAGGATAGAGCCACAGGAAGTAGCAGTATTTCCTCTCAACACTTATAAAAGTCCTAGGACAGAGGCATGCACAGACAGACTGAAAAAGCCGGCAATATTTCCCCAATATTAAGGTATAAACCAAAGCAAACTTAAAGACTCATGAATTTTCTCTGGAACTGCAAAATGAGAACATGAATAAAACCAAATATTTCAAAAGGGTATTCTTCCTATCCGAAATGGCCTCATCCTAAGTCTATGGCAGAACAGACCCATTCTCTATAAATATTTAATCTTTTACACATTCTCAGTTTCAAGATATGATAAAAAAGATAACTTACGATTTTAGGAAGAGCTAGGGAAGAACCATAATCCATTAATTAGTGGAAACCATATATACCCTGTTTTTTCTCTCCCAAGTGAGATATTTTGTCTAGGGCGAGGTGAATGAAAGGTAACGTGCAAGCAGGAGGATGTCTATCAACCCCTTAGAGAGTTCATGCCAAAAGAATATAAACGCCACAAAACTGGTTTTTGCAACAAAGTGCTGTCACTGTAGGGTTTGCATTACTTACATGAGGGGGAAAAAAAAAAAAGCCCTTGATATTAACCAGCCACCCTACCCAGGAAAGAGGGTAAATTGTTCCCCCAGAGGCTGTTTCCCTCTTCCAGCCTCATCATAAGTGTGCTAGCACCTTCCCAGGTGAAACATGGAAAGAGGAAGAAAACAATAATGCCTTTGGAGTTTGGAGTTAAAGTAAATCCAAACAATATAGAAGAAACGAGATAAATCAAAGGGCTCATCACCTAAACTCATGACCACTGTATATTATACTACTGATAATTATAATTGTTATCGACTGTCCCTGCAGGATCTGGTGACAGTGAGAACCCATCAGATCACCTTCTGTTTGAGTAGCTAGCATCTAATACTTCAGAGAAAGAAATTACCATAACTGTACGATGTGGTATTTCAGGAGCTTTCTTTCATTCTGAAATGCTGACAATGGATTACTCAGATAATTCTGGCTTCAGTACTCTGACCTACACAAATCTTTCTCAGCCTTTGAGTTTTTCTAATAACACTGCACCCCTCTTGGGTGCTTCGGTCGTTTTCCAGTGCTTACCACACACCTCGTCCCTCGCACGACCCTCACGACCGTGAGGCAGCCAAGGCAGGCAGCAGTACCCCACTTCACGGATGAACCTGAGACTCAGGGAAGTGACTCAACAAAGGGTCACATGGCTATCAGGAACTGAAAGAGAGATTGGAACGATCCTTATCCAAACTCTTTCTCCCCACTAGAGATGGGAATGGCTTCTACCAATCTGTGTGTTGGGAACCACAACCTCTTCCGCCCCTGGCGACTGAGTTTGTGAACAAGGTGACTGGAAAAGAATGGCTCTACTTTTACTGCTTCGATATAAAAATCTCTTAAGGTGAAATCAGAATAGTTGATTTTCTTCCCAGTCTTGTGTCTAAACCTGAGCATGGCCCGAGACAGCCTTTCAGAAACTGGGGAGAAAAACGCACACCCTGCCCGGACGCCGACGTGTACGAGGGGAGGGAGCGGTGGGGGGAGCCGCCCCTCACAGGGCCACACGCAAGGCACTTCAGACAATGTCCTCGGCGGGGTGGTGGCAGGGGTGGCTGCCCAGGGTGGAGAACTGGTGCCAGTTCCGCAGGAAGCCCCGGTTGTACTGGCCCGTGTCCACGATGAGCCCGTAGAGGAGCCGGCGCCCCGTCTTCTGCCGCAGGGCCTGCTGGACTTCCCGCTCAGTGACGTTGTAACTGATGTTGATCAGCTGGATGAGGAAGATGTACGCCATGCCCGCCGTGATGATCACGGAGTACCACACGCAGGTGAAGGACAGAGCCGAGCTGGGAGGACAAAGGGCGGGTCAGCAGGCCAGTCGTTTCTGTCAGAAAGCCGGGCACCGCCCTCACGTCTGACACATGTGGGACCCGTCACCAAGGACTCTGGTGCCTTCCCCAGCTATCCCAATCAGAAGATGCTTTTCCACCCCAAACACCAAAGTGCTTAACCTGTGACCACTCACATGTCCTGGTTTATGCTCTCCTCCTTGCTGCCTCTTTTCCCAGTATGTCACACCGGAACAGCAAGGACGTTTTTGCCTTTCGTATCTCCCCAAGCAATGCAATGCCTGACGTAACACCACTCAAAATCTATCAGATATACGAACAATTCCTAAATCGCTCTTAACTGAGGGGAAAACGAAGGCACCGCGACACTGCCATCCACGTCCCCCAGGAAGCCGTGGGTGGGGACGCAGGGACAGTGCTAAAGCCATTCGTCTCCACTCTTCTCAGCACAGTGCTGGTGAGCGTAGGGGAGACAAGAAGCCCCAATACCACATCCTGCTAGGTAGGAACACCCGTCACACTTCAGGTCCAGCTTCTTCCAGCCAAACAGAATCACCCAGGACAAGCCAGGAGGAGAGGCTGCTGATATGAACGTCTGCCAAAAGATTATTTTCTAACATTTGCAAATGAAGAGCTGGAAATGAACCCATCTCAAATCTTTATTTGTTAAGCTGAGAGGGACTCAGAGAAAACGACCTCACCATAAAGATGAGGGACACCAGGGCTCAGCAGGCTGAAGTGAGGCACCTGGCCAGAGGGTGGGCCCCCATGGCAAACTGTGTTCCTCATTCCCCGTCAGTGGCCCACAGCAAGACCACAGAACTCGTGCTTAGTGACACACAGACACACTCTGCTGTAGGATATCTATCACGTGCGGTGTGACAGCAGAACTTCACAACCTACTAACACTCTCAATACAGAAAGAAAAGGAACTTAGCCCAAGGAGGAAGACACATCTGTTCTAATTATGTGCACAAATATCCAGACATATAATGGCAACATCATCTATCCATAGACTAAGAAATGCTTCCACAGGGGTGCGAGGTAGGCTGTTCTGAGAACAAACAGTGATAAGAAAGAAAAGGACCCTGGGGAGGCAGTGCTGTCCTTGCTCAGATGGGGGTCACCAGACACCACACAGCATCCGCATCAAAGGAAACGTGGAGGGGGGCACAAGGAACACAGGCAGGGGGCCCACAGCTATCTGGGGAGGGGCTGGCTGGGCTCACGGTGGCAAAGCCCCAGCTGCTGACAGGGCATGGAGACCTTCACAATGTATAAATGTGCCCCAACCTAACAGAGAAAATTCTGACCTAGATACCACAGTAATCATGAGTGGTGATTTTTTAAAAAGTAGGACAGGACAAACCAATAGAGGTTAAAAAGTAAAGAAATGTTATACAAATTGTGAGCGCTCCACAAAAGGGCCAGAAGCAATAAATCAAGACAAGACTAGAGAGCGCGAGAAAGCCTCAATCAAGCCAGGACTTGCCATGATCATTTATGACAAAACAGACGCCGCACATCCCCTGGGACTGCTGGTTCACGGCTGGCAGTTCACCATTGCTACCGTGGGCGTGCAAGGGGTCATCTGACTCCGGAAGTCCCGGAGTGAGCCCAGTCCTATCTGCAGGGTCAAGGATCCTTTTGACATCACCCTAGAAAAATGCACAATTTTGTTGTCCATTTCAAAGATACCCAGCATCCAATAACCTGTCCTATTTATTGGTTGAAGACTCCTAACCTAGCAGCAAAGCACGGCCCCTTGCATCAACAGCAACGCCCATTCCCTCGTCTCTGGGCCTCGGTGCTCCGGTAGTCACATCTCACCTGTAATCTGCATAGACTCCAGGACAATAGAAGAGAGCTGTGAAGACACTTCTATCTCTACAAATGGTGTCCAAGGTCAGTGTTATCCCGTACACCGAGGTGAGCAAGAAGATCGAAAGGGCAAGTATAAATGCTTGATGATTGGATTCTCCAACACAGCTGTTTATCCTCAAAACAGCAGAGGGGGAAGAAAAAGCAAACATTTTTTTAAAGTTCTTGATATAGACGGAAGAGAAATTTATCATGGTGATCATTGCATAATGAATAGAAATGCTGAGTGACCGCTCGCTGTGCACCCGCCATAATATAACATTGTAGATCCACTAGGGTTCAATGAAAAAGGAAAAAAGTTTCCATCTAACGCACATAATAAACAAGAGAGTTTCAAAAACAGAGATCATGCGAATTTCAGCAATTAAAAAGTAAGTTCTCTTTTCTTTCAACTTTAGGGAATGCAAAACTTGCCCACTGAGAGGTGTAGTCTTATGTTCTCTGCTCTTTCCAAAGTGAAATCGTATCATTAGGACGAAACTGAGTAAAAAGCAGAACCTGACTAACAAATCTTTCTAAATCGTAATGAGTTTATCACCCAACCATGAAGAGGGTTAACACTGTAACCACCATGAGAAGGAAAGGATGGTATCAGTAAGGAAAACTTAAAAAACCTTAAGTATTACACACTCAGGGAAAATACATATTAAATTCATATATTAATACAAAGATCCCAAGAAGTTAGAAATGTGGTGTGGGGTGGAGAACTTGGTAATATGCAGACTACTTGTCGGGGAGGGAGTTCTGTCTCGTGGCCGTGTGCTGGGCAGGGCACACACCAGGAGGCCCCAGGGGCAGAGGTCGTCTTTCACGCAGAGCTGTGGGGCCCTCTGCAAACCAGCTCTCGAGTGCACGTGCGCACGCACGCACACACACTCGCAGACACACATGAGCACATACACGTGCCCACACGTACGCACAAGAACACATGATGAAGACTCAGAAGTTAAAATCTGAAAGTGATAATACCTGCGTATTCCTAAAGAGAGCCCTAGACAAGAGATGCCCCTGGCTAGAGCCCCCACCTGAGGTCCTCTCCAAGGCCCTCCTGGCCTTGCTGCACCCTCTCCGTCCCCTCCGTCCCTTTCTATGGGGGAGGAGGGTACGCGGCATGACAGAACCGCAGCCATGGAAAGCAGACTTCACTCACCACGAGTGCCGTGACAGCTAAGAGCTAGAGAGTAGCAAACGTGCTACTTACAGCATTCACGTCTGAGTAAACTCTGCCCCTTTTAGATGCACACAGCGAAGCAGTAACACTATCTTTGAAAGTTGCACTTCACATCGCAGGGGCCTTGCATGTCCTCATTAGGCGCTGGCCAGCTGGCAGGCGCCACGAAAGCCCATTTCTCTGCAAAGAGCAAATAACAAAACAGGGAACTACCTGGCAGGACCATCCCTCAATAATGCGGGCTAGGAGTCCTCAGAACGATGAAAGACGTATGGGGAGGGGACAAAGTCCCCTACAAATATGGTACACTTTCCTGAGCTCCATGTTCAAGAGGCACAGCACAGGGAACTATGCCTATATTGATTCTGATCCATTCTTTTTTAAAAAAACATCACCTCACTGCAAATACTTCTCTTTCATAAAGGACAAAGTCACTGGGGGGTGGGAGGCGGCTCGGAAGGGAACAGCAAAACAGCAACAACAATAACCAAGCCCTCCAGCGAATGACTGAAGTCCCTACATTTGCGAAACCGGGAAAACGGATGACTAAGTGGGAACTTCATACCAGCCCACAAATATCTGCAAGGTGTGAAGCTGGGATCGACTGAAATTTTTGGACGGCACCCGGGAAGATCAAACAGGGCCCGGGGCTTATGAGGCCTTCCACTTTGCAAGCCTCCAGACTTTCCCACCTACCAGACACAGTGATGATCCATCCTCCGGACACAGATGCCGCATATCCGGCAGTGCCACGCACGGGCTGGCCGCACCAGCTGGCACTTGGCACACCAGTCCTCCTTCACCTTGGCGGGACTTTCAGCCGACACCCTGCAAGGGCCCTTAAGATCATCCTTGGGCGTGCGGTTGCTGAGGCTGCAGGCTGATTCCACACCGGGGAGCCCTCTGGTCTTCTCCTGCCCGTCTCTGCTCAGGCTTTCAGTTTGGCTGCTGCCTAGAGATCTGTCACTGCTTGCTGGATTTCTGAGGTAGCCTGGATTCTTCTTGGCTCTGTACAAGGCTAAGAGTATCAGGAATAACCCACAGGTAAGAAGAGCCAGCTGAGGGGGCCCCACACGCCCTTTGGGGACGACTTCCTGCAGGAACACGTAGTACATGTAACCCAGAGAGAAGAGTCCGAGGCTCAGGAAAAATAGGGTCTGCTCTTTCCTTCTGTGAGTGAGGTAATAGTACCACAGAGCCAGCACAGGAAGGGAGGTCAAAACCACCACCCCCAGGAGGAAATGCCAGGAAGCCACACGCAGGAAGACGGGCAGCAGGATGAGTGGGGGCAGGATGCTAATGTTGACTTTTTGGGCTCCCTTGAGCCCAGGAATTCGGAGGCGATCAGAAATAGTATCCATGATTCTTTCACAGGTCTCCGGCGGCACGGATTTACCCGTGATCCATCTACGCAGAAAAGCACAGAGAGAAAAGAATGTTTACAAATGGAACCGTTAACACTATTTCTCCACGAAGCAAAAACATAGGAATAAACACACATTCTGTGCACGTACTGCTTAGATTGGGGAGAGTATAGAGACTTAAGATCCTCAAAAAAAAAAATTCATAATCTAGTTGTGAAGACAACATGGGAATTTGGGAAGGATCAGAGAAGAGACAAAGCAGCAAAATCACCCAGTGAACTATTGTGGCCAAACACCGTAAGGCGTGCTCAGAGGGGAACGCACGCTGCTGAGTGGAATCATGAGGGGGGCCGGTCTCTGTGAGAAAGGTGGGCTCTGTGCCTCACCTCGATGGCGGGCTAGCATGTGGGGGGTGGGGGAGGCAGGGCGGTGTTCCAGTGGAGCCGGACGTGTGCAGCACACACCCGTCCTGCGCCCCGGGAGTCACCAGTCTAGCAGGGCCGGGGGCGGGGGGAGGGTACTGTGTGAGGAAGATTGGAGAGCAAACTCAGAGCGAAATGACTGAGCTTCGTGGACCCACGGTATTTGTTGACATGTTTGCACACTTAGGCTAGCAAGACAAAGGATGGTACTTGATGTAGACAAACAATTTAGAAAAGTAACGCAGTAACTTGGCCATGAGGGAAGGTAAGTACATGGGAGTCACACAGAGCAACAGGACAGAAGGAAGACTGGGAGCCTATCTCCTGAGACGGGTACGGTTGGAGCAGGCGAGAGAGCTCAGGGACAGCCTGGGTCTCAAGGGCTAGAAGAGAGAAAGAGGTTAATGGAAGAGCTGTGGTCTCGAGTGATGGAGGTTATGGAAACAGCATCATTTTTCCATTCATTAAAGCAGAGTGCTCCATTTTCTCTGTATAGATTTTAGACTAAGTCCATTTAAAAATACCTGTAAAAAGACTGAAGACACTGTTAAGGAAGAATTACAAAAGGTCTACAGGGTCTTCAGGGTTCTGGCAGGGCGTACAGTGGTCCCAAGACACTTTTCACGTCTAGATGAATACACCAAGCTTTAAGTCAGCAACGTGCCGCTACGGTCACTTTTTTAACCGGAAGTAATTATTGATGGGAAAAGCCAAGTTTCCAACATTCTTATTCTCCTCCCACATTGTGCTTCCCATATGGCGACAAATTTTAGGCATATAATTATTTAGAAGATGGTTTAAAACCCTGTTATTACTGTTTGGTACAGAAATTTTTTCCCCTGATGTTGAAAAATCATCTTTTTGGATATTAATTTCCAACCCTTTGGAGAACGGTGAAAATAAAAGCCAAATACAATGAATATCGGTCAAGACAGTGTCACTGCCCATGCTGAAAACAGCCAGCCCAGCGCAGGCATGTGCCTGCTGCTGGATTTCCTCCCCAGGGACAAGGGGTGAGACCAATGCCAACAGCAGGAACATGAGCTTTCGGCCTTCAAGACCCTTGGTGGCCAGATACAGTCCAGCCTCAAGTAGTCAATCTCGAGACATTGAGAACACAGAGAATGTGTTCTCTCTAGCACCAATGTGTTCACTTTAAATGTACAGATTCTGGGTGCTTGGGTGGCTCAGTTGGTTGAGCAATGCCTTCAGTTTGGGACATGATCTCGGGGTCCTGGGATCGAGTCCCACATCGGGATCCCTGATCGGCTGGGAGCCTGTTTCTCCTCTTCCTTTCTCCCTGCTTGTGCTCTCTGTCAGGTGAATAAATACAATCTTTTTTAAAAAATTTTTTTAAATAAATAAATTAAATGTACAGATTCTACTGCTCTGCGCTTTATTTTTTTATACACTTAACTTGCCACTATCCCTTTATTTGCTTGTTCTCTCCATCATCTTCTCCCTTTAAGTGAAAAGTAATAATGTCCTACTAAACTGAGCAGAATAGACAGCTGTGCAGTTGTGCACTACTGAGTAACCCACCTTCATGAAATCCTCACACCTGACACACAAGACCACTCTCAATTTTAGATCCTTTGAAAAAGCAAGAGCAAAATCTAGTGTTCTGGATGGCTACACTTCAAGCAAGCATGGTAGTTCTCAAAAGAGCCAGTGGGGTCAGCTTCATGAACCTCTCTGCCCTTACCTATCACACCCTTCATCGAGATCCTGGCAATCACACAAACAAGCAGCCACGTGGTTCTTCTCCCCATTTCGATCGATGTACTCGCAGCAGCACAGGGGCTCCAATTCAGGTTCTTCCGCTTTGTTTTTCTTCACTGGCTTCATACTACCCTTCTGTGTCATGATTTCCACCTGTCACCACGAGGTGTAGGAAGCCCTCAGTAAGGAAAGGTGTAAACAACACGACTCACATCTTGTAAACACATCCACGTCTCTGATTATCCGCCAACGCCTGAGAAATCAAACAGAAGAAAGCGGGGGAGGGGGAGTCTCTTTTTCATCAGGTTTTTCTTGCTGGGCTCCGCCAGACAGGAAGCTCTGGGGGCTCCCAGCTGCCTTCACCGCCCCTTCCCACCAGGGCTGGCGTCGTCTGGGTACCAGCGGTTTCCATGGTGACAGCTGACCACACGGCCGGGACAGCCGGGGCGCTGGCGGCTGCGCTCACCTGCCGGTGCAGGATGCGGAGGGCCGAGCAGTCCCCGCCCAAAGCCCGGGTGCAGGTGGAAACTCGCCCTCTGGGCTGCGGGCGGAGAAAAGCTTCTGCCGCCGGGGACGGCACGCGCACCCGGCTCCGGGGAGGCCACCAGAAGCCCGTGCAGCGCCCGGGGTCGCCGTCCAGCCCGGCTGCTCCTGCTCCGCGCAGGGCGCACCTCTCCCGCCCCCGCCGACAGTGAGGACGTGGGCGGGCCGCGAGCGCCGCCCCACCCAAAGAATGACCTTGGAATGAAGTTACCTGTGTTCCGGGGCCGAGGTGCGATTGCCGAGGAAGAGGCCCAGGTGGAGGGAAGAAAGGTCGATTCCTCCCGAGGCGCGGACGCGTCTTCCCAGCTCTGCTCCCTGGGCTCTCGGTGTGACGGCTGGAGTCCCAGAGACCCCGGCTCCGCTCCGCCGCGCCTCCGCCGTCGCCCACCTGTGAGCACAGGCGGCCGCGGCCCGGGCAGCGCGCCCGCCTCCCCGCCGCCCTCCTGCCCGCCGGCTCGGCTTGGCAAGTCCGCGCGCGCTTCCGGGTGCCCCGCCCCCGGCGCCGGGGATCCCCGCCCGCCCGCACGTGCGGCGCCCGGAGCCAGCCGGCCAGGCCCCTCCCCCGGCCCGAGGCCCTGGCGCCCGGAGGTAGCGAGGACCTGAGGACCGACACCTGGGGGTGGGGTGCAGGCGTAGGAGCCCAGGGCTGGCCCGGCACCTCCGCCCCGAACGGCCCCTGTGCTGCCCCGCGGGTGCCTGCGGGCGGTACGTGGGCGGGGCAACCCCCAGAGCCCTCGGCCCAGGGAGGTGCCGATGAAAAGACGGGAAACCCGGGAACCCGGAGGATTCCCCAAGCCCTGGAGACCCGTGGGTCGTCCAGTCTTCATTCCGACGCGGGCAACAGGCTTAGGTGGAGATCACCACCGCAAATTGTTACCGAGGCACCGCCCCCAAATTCTCCAGCCTTCCCTTAAAGGCCCATCGCTGTCCCTGATCTGTTCATTTATAAAGCTGGTTCTTTTTCATGATTTCTGGCGAGCAGATTCCACGTTCGACCGGCAGGCCTAGTACTTTTGTCCCAACAGTCTGCATATTTGAACTCAAACAGTCTGCATATTTGAAATGAAATGACTCCTCTTTGGGTTTTATTTTTGCACAAAATTTTTTAAAAGTGTAGGCCCATATACACGTTTTCACTATAGCAAGTTTCTAGTTATTTGTGCTTTTTGGTTTTTTTTTGTTTTTTTTTTTACAGAAAAAGAAAAACTACAACTAAAGACATTTTCTGTTTTATTGATATTCAATTTACACAACGGGCTCAAATGCAATTAATTAAGTTCTACATACATACATGTTTAGTCTTAATCTATAAAGCAACTTTGGTAATTTTCTCTGAGGTATATTTATGAAGTACAAGTTTTAAAGAAAGTCACAAAAATATTCAGCTTGCCACTGATCATTTTTGTGAATTTAACAAAGAACAAAGTCTTCAAGTTTATAATCCAGTGACTCACTCACAGCCACACTTCATAAATCAAAAAATCCCCAGGTAAGTACACTGGTACCCCCAAGATAATTTTGTTGGAAATCACCCAGAGAAATCCATTTTCCCTGTAATTAAGTCAATATTTTCATTCTCTACAGGCATCTCAAAAATGACTTTAGCTATCTCCTGTGGCTCTGGGGAAAGAAAGAAACATTTAATTAAGGCAAGCATTGTCCAAACAGTGAGAATATATACAAATCATTCAGCACTGTCTTTCTCTTGTCCCAAAGACATCGCTTGTATTGAGACATCTATGCCTAAAAACTTTTCATGAAAGAGCCAAAACGTCTGTCTGACTTTGAACTTCAGTCAGGGCCCTAGTATTGGGACATAATGCCCCAAAAGTTTTTAGTGAAGAGCTAGAAGTTCGTTTCTGGTTATAACTTACCAGCTGAAACAAGCCGCACACAAGAATGAATAAATGAAGACATGTGTGGCTACTGAAAAGTAACCCACAAATTATTTTCAACCGGGTGGTTCACTTCCACCATGAAAGACTACTAAGCTGAAGCCAAGCTTAGTTCAAGTATTCATCTGATCTGTCACCAAATGCCCAGATTTTAATGTAATCCTCTGTTTTATAAAATCAGAGCATGGTTCTTCATTTTGAGTGTTGCTATCCTATATGTTTCCTCTTCCATATTCACTCTTCCACCGTCTGATACATGAAGGGGCAAGATAATCTCACCTCTGATACCTACCTGAAGAAGAAACAACTATTTCTTTAGAAAAATACAACATAGCTCAAGAATATTTCAGATAATAATTACCAACCTGCAGACTCAAAAGGTTTGACTATTGAATTTACATGCTAAATAAGTGAAGACATTGTAATATTTACAGTACACAAACTGAGAAATGTTATAATATATGCCTGAAGACTGGTCCTTCAAAAGTAGTAATGATAAAAAGGTTTATTCTTCTATTGTCTTCTTTAGCCCCTTGAATGTATCTCAACTGGGAAAGCAGCCTACTGGACACCTACTGATTCTATACTAATAAAGCATCAAACTTTAAACCTCACTGTAAAAATCAGTTCAGAGTGTCTCATTTTCTTTTTGTATCAGAAATTCAAATCCACAAAATATTTCATGCTTCACTGGAGAAATTCACTGCTTGGAATTATGTATAAGAAGTGAAGAACGGATTGTTAAGACCATCAGAAACTACTTATCAAATTAGTGTTATGAAAAAGAATGTTCATGTTAGAAGTACCAATAATAAGCAAATATGGAAATGTTCCGATGACAATTAAAATGCTTCATCCTCTGGTTTTCTTTAAGATGTTTCCTTTTAGTTCCAAGTATCTCTACAATTTCAGGCCTTGAGATCACTAGCTTTCGACAGTCATGCCAGTCTTGTTCTTATTTAGTAGATCAAAAGTTCTCTGAAGCATAATGAGTGAGCTCTTTAACTGCAAACAAAATTTTCAAAATCAGTTTAACATGTTTTCTTATTTTTATGCCAAATGTTTATATTTATATTCAATATAATTTGGTTTATACTGATGCCCAAATAAAAGACTGAATTTATAAAACACATCAGCATGACTGCTAAGCTCTTCCTGTCCGCTGTGGTCCTGCACCTCTCCCTCCGCTGTCCTGCTGTGCATGCTGCCCCCCAGCAGATGGGTTTTCTAAATAGTTTTTCAGGTCGCACTGGTCTCTCCACTATCCCCCAAACAAATCTGGCTCTCCCTGCAGGCCTCTGTTGCTATTATGCTCAACCTTGTCTTCATCCATTTAGAACTTCCCCATCCCCACCCTCTCTGTGTTGCCTTCCGTAATCATCCTGCCTTTAAACTCCCAAAGCATTACCACTTACTTGACACTTAACTTTGTACTTTTTAATAGTTTTTAACAATACACATGGACATCTGATTTCTCTAATAAAATTACAGGCAACTTGAGAGCAATAATTCTGTTTTATGCTTCTTTATATTCATTCATTTGTTCATTCAGCAAATGTTAATTGCTGACCTATTACATGCTGGGTATATACTAAGCAGAGCTCTGGGTATACAATGGTAGACCAGAAAGGCACTAACCCTGCCTTCATGGAGCTTACAGACCAGTGAGGAATACAGAACTAAAACGAATCATCACATATATAAATATATAATTCCACAAGGCATTAAGTTTTTGACTGGAGGAAGGCAGTGTCATTTTCTGAAATACGTCAGGTAGAGGAGAGTCAGTCCGGCTCAGGATGAAAACTGAATTCTGTTTTGGACATAATCAGTTAGTGGTGGCCCATTAGCATCCAGGTGAAGATGCCAGTCATCAGGTGACTGTGTGAGCCTGGGGCTCAGGGAAGAGGTCCGGGTAAGAGAGATGGATTGGGGAATCAATGGCATGTGTAGCACAAGCAAGGGGAGTGGATGAGACCACCTAATGGGAAGTAGAGGAGAAGGGAAGAGAATCTAACACAAAAGGCCTGGCAGTACTAGGCCAGGGGGAAGAGATGGTTTTAACCAGCAAAAAGCAGTTTTGCTTTATGCTAAGTACAAGAGACAGTCACAAAGACCATAATAATTCCATGTATGTGAAATGCCCAGAATGAGCAAACCTATAGATATAAAAAGTAGATTAGTGATTGTAGGAGTTGAGAGACTGCTAATGGGTACAGGATTTCATTTGGGAGTGATAAAAATGCTCTGGAATTTAGGCAGTAGTGATGGCTGTACAACTTTGTGAATATGCTAGAAATTCTTTAAAAGGTGAATTTTATAATATGTCATTTATATCACACGAAAGCTGGGTTTTTCTCTTTTTCTTAATTAAAAAAAATTTTTTTTTAATTTTATTTATTTGACAGAGAGAGAGAGAAAGAGAGCACAACAGGGGGAGCAGCAGGCAGAGGGAGAGGGAGAAGCAGGCTCACAGAGCAGGGAGCCCAATGCGGGGCTTGATCTCAGGGCCGTGGAATCATGACCTGAGCTGAAGGCAGACACTCAAGGACTGAGCCACCCAGGTGCCCCAGGGTTTTCCATGGTTTTAAAGAAGGAAAGATTAGATACGCTTCAAGAAAGGAGTGGTCGGGCACCTGGGTGGCTCAGTGGGTTAAAGCTGCTGCCTTCGGCTCGGGTCATGATCCCGGGGTTCTGGGATCGGGCCGCATCGGGCTCTCTGCTCAGCAGGGAGCCTGCTTCCTCCTCTCTCTCTGCCTGCCTCTCTGCCTACTTGTGATCTCTGTCTGTCAAATAAATAAATAAAATATTTTTAAAAAAAAAGAAAGAAAGAAAGGAGTGGTCAACTTTTGTCAAATGTTCACAGAGTAAGATGTAAACTAAAAAAATGTACATTAACTTTAAAAGCCAGAGGTCACTGGGGACCTTAGCTTGAGCAATTTCATTGGACGACATGGGGGAAGAAGACAAGGTAGGAGTAGGCTGAAGAGCAAATGAGTGGCTTAAATATAGGTATCTAATTTTGCTCCCTCCTGAAACCGCACTAAAAGCACAATAAAAGGATTTTTTTAGGCATAAATCCATGAGGACAGGGAAAACAGAAACAGCAAAAGCAACAACACAACATCGGAAACTAGAAAGCAGATGGATGACTTAGCAGACCAGAAAAAGTGGAATCCTAAACTAACTGTAGAGAAAGCTTGAGAACCAACCAAATTTACCCAGAAGCCTCAAAAGCCTCAGGAATTGACAGAAATCTCTGGAAGTTGGAATAAAGAGAAAAGGACTAAAAATGACGATTATACAAAAAAAGTGTTGAGATAATCCCCATATGCCTTGCCCTCCTGCATCCCTCTTACTTTCACTCTGCTCCTAAAATGCTGGCAGCCAGCCCTTAATCCTTCAGATGGAGACTGGAAGGCTATTCTCTATGGAAACTGACCAATCTAAGAGGAAAGACCTAAAGACAGTGATACCAGGATTTCTCAACCAACAGCCCTGCCAGATCTACAGAGAAGTTCAGGGTATATCAAACCAATCCACGTTA